GACCCTTCCATTGACACCTTCCGGGTAGAATACCTCGTCGGACCCTGCGTCCTCCTCGGCCTCATCTTCAACTACCAGTTCACCGTCATCGAGGTCCTCTGGTCATTCTCCATCTTCCTGGAATCGGTCGCCATTCTCCCGCAACTCTTCATGCTCCAGCGCACGGGCGAGGCGGAAACTATCACGACACATTACTTGGCTGCGCTGGGGGCATATCGGGCGTTGTACATTCCCAATTGGATCTACAGGTGCGTAATGTCCAAGTTCTGTCACCATGACCACATACTGACAGGTGACTAGGTACTTCACGGAAGGTACCGTTGATCCCATTGCTGTGACTGCAGGACTTGTACAGACGGGTCTCTACCTCGACTTCTTCTATGTATACTTCACAAAGTGCGTCGATTCTACCGTTTCACCTGCGTCTCGCCCATGACTGACTGTTTCCTGTTTCGTGTAGAGTGATGCAAGGGCAGAAATTCGAGCTTCCTGCATAATTTGTGTGGTCTCTGCAGTACGACGCGTGTTGCATCCTATATGCTCGCCCTAATTGACAAAATTGAAACGCTTACATCCCCTCACGTCTTGTTAGAACCGGCCTAGACGGCTGTTGGCCACGTATGGACGGTTCCCCATAATTATTGCGTTTTCCTTTTTCTCTTCTCTTACGTACCTCGATGCGTCTCGTTAGTATGTAGAGCAATATGATGCACTGTAACGTCGCGACTCGGAGTGAGACACAGACACAGTGTCATTAATTGCAGCACACCCGCCACGTCCACGTGTCAAGTGACGATCGGGCGTCAGCGGCCGTGGCACACGCCAACGAACCAGCTCGTCCTCTCAGCCACCACCACCATCCACAACTCCCTTTTCTCCTCCGGACCTCTCAGGTCATCGGTTTATCGGCCAGATACCTCTCGCCCCCAGGTCGGACGGTCTCCAAATTCCCGGCAGCCGGCTGTGTATTATTCTCTCGAGGGCGCGGACAACTCTCTTTCTCTCTTACTTTATTCGCTGGCTGGCGGTTCAAACTCGGCTTTGATTCTTTCGACATGCTTCTCAACGGAATACTAGCATTTTTGAGCCTGGGCCTTCTCCCTGCGGGCGTGTTGGGTGCCGGAGAGCTGAAGCTGGGCAATAAGACGATTGATAGGGTGAGTCTCTTTATCATATGTGACTGAGAGGGTGTTGGTTGTAGAAGAATTTCGGAAAATCAGGAGGTCCTGGCTGGTGTGCTCATCGGATGGCAATGTGGATGTCCTTGCGTCTCGGACTATACTAGTACATGTAGTCGTCGTGAGCAGTAGGAGCGAGGGGAAGACAGGACGAGCTTTTCTCATTTCCGCGCTTTTCTTTGATGGAGTACCGACTTTACTGACGTATGTTTCAGACAGTGTCTCTCCGCACACACTCGCTATTCGCGCCTTACATCGACCAGGACTTGCAAAACCGGTGCGGAAGCCACAATCTTGCTCGTAGGGAATGTGTATTGACGAGTGGTCTTGTTGCAGGTGGTGGGATTTCGGTGCAGATGCATATGTGGTGCGTACGGTGTCTTATTCTTTGCAGAACAAGTGTGCTGACGTGTTTTTCTAAGAACACGAACAAACACGTCCGTTTGACGAGGGCGCGTCCATCAGAAATGGGTTGGCTATGGTCACGATTGCCCATCACATCTACGAACTTCATCGTCGAAGTTGAATTCAAGGTGTGCTAGAACCCTGCAGTCCCTCCTGTATCGCTCTTGTTTACAACGTCTCGCTATTAGATTTCTGGAGACTCGAGTCACCTCTTTGGTGACGGTATGGCTATCTGGTTTACTACGGAGCGCGCCCAACCGGGGCCTGTTTTCGGCAGCAAAGATAATTTCAACGGCGTTGGTATCTTCTTGGACACGTCAGTATTCGCGTCAATGCGTCGTCTGCGACATGTCTCATCTCATCAACACCGCTGTTAGGTACGCTAACGCGCGTCATTCGTACGCATTCCCCCGCATCGTCGGCATGAGAGGAGACGGCAAGACTTCTTATGACCTTGCAAATGATGGCCATGACACGTCGGCAGGAGCGTGCTCTGTGAGTAACGCATCTCCGAGCCAAGACGTTTGAACCGTTCACTGAGCGTTAAGTTATCATAGGCAAACTATCGACGGACGAATGTGGCGACCAAACTGAAGATCACATATATCAAGGAGGCCTACCTTGATGTGAGTATCGCTTCGTCTCTTCTGCAAGATACGTCAGACTCACCGAACTGCCATAGGTCAAAATCCAGTACAAGGCTTGTGAGTGACGACGGAAGCTGTTTCATTTTCTGCGCCAGTGACTGATCGAGCGCTGCATGACCTATGTATAGGGGACGAGTGGTCAGACTGCTTCACGATTAACGGCGCGGACATCCTTCCCTTAGCCCCCTACCTCGGATTCTCCGCTCTGACTGGAGACGTTTTCGACGCTCACGAGTGCGTCCTCTACCACTTCTCCACATGTTGTCAAACTGACAATACCCTTCCAGTATCATATCCGTGACGACCCACTCCGCCGTGCTCTCCAACCCCCAATACCAGAGAGACAAACTCGTCGGAGCAAAAGCCATGAACGTCCAAGATTCCTCGTACTTGATGAAGCTCGTCAAGTTCTTCATCCTCGTCGGCATCCTGCTCTCGCTGTTCTACGGCGCGAAGGCGTACTATCGAAGGCGGAATAGGGGCATGACAGGCATGGGCGGTCCTATGTCGCGGACTCCTGGGTTCCAGACAAGTTTCTACGGGGACTCGAAGCGGTTCTGAGTGGTGGAGGGAAGGTGAAGACAGGAAGTGAGGGCCGAGACGTTGGTTGTGCCACATCTTGAGTGTCTATATATTACACCTTTTTTGCTCCTCGAACGCGTCTTGAGTGTGAGGCGGTGTGGACAGCATGACCAAGTTCGGGAATTGCAGGTCAACATATTGCATGTCAGACGAAGTTGCATGTACTTCGTAGAACGACCTTCGTTCATACTGTCTTCTGGCATTCTCTCGTTGACCGACCTCGGACGCCGTGCTGCGAAACTGCCAAATAGCTTGCGCAATAAGACCGGAGCGCCGGTCACGGCGTTGGTTACTCTGGGGTAATGACGGCAGAAGCCATATCTCATGGAACCCTATTGAGCACTGCTCTATTACTGTATGATGTTCAACGCTTGCATCTGCACTTCCACGACGTAGGACACGTAAACCCTCTCCAACCTCACAAATCTCAGCATGTCCAGCTCGCAAACGCAGCCATACACCGAAGCGTGGCTCGCAGGTCCCGGTGGGCACCAATTCTACACGCGCACCTACGCCGCGCCATCCCCACCGAAAGCCCTCGTCGTCTTTGTTCACGGCTTCGCTGAGCACGTTGGACGTTACGAAGCGTCGTTCCCTGCGTTCTCTGAACGCGGTGTCACGCTGTTCGCGTTCGATCAGAGGGGCTTCGGGCGTACCGCGTTGGATACGGAGAAGAAGAGCAAGGATGCGAGTTATGGGAAGACCAGTTGGGCGAGGCAGTTGGAGGATATCGAGTGGTGGGTGAAGTATCTTGTCAAAGAGCACCCTGGGGTGCCGGTATTCTTGATGGGACATTCTATGGTGAGTTGGGCTTAGTGTGTCTAACGCAGCGGGTACTAATACATGTATGGCAGGGCGGCGGATTGTGCTGCGCGTTCCCCACTCGCGTACATGCTCCACCCAGCTCGGACACGATCAAGTCGTTGTCTGGGGTCATTCTGTGCAGTCCGCTGGTCCGATTGACTCATCCCAAGCCGAGGATTGTGCTGTTCGCAGGAGGGATGCTAGGACGATTGCTCCCCTTCATGCCGGTCCCTGCTGGCGTGGAACCAGACGTAAGTTCTGCTGCTGTAAGCTTCAATGCCTGTCAGCTCACAGGGATTGCGCCCGTCCAGCACTTATCCAGGAACCCTCCTAGAAACGAGGCATATCTGCAAGATCCTCTCATCAAGCAGTTCGGTACCTTGAAGGGCGTGGACGACATGCTCAGTGGGGTATGTCATCCTTCAAATCCCATTGCATTACACGGTTGACTTGGTACATGACAGGGCGAGAAGCTCGCTGAACACGACTGGCAACATTGGCCAAAGGATCTTCCGGTACAGATTCGTCATTTATCAGTATCTTCATAGCTGAGAATTTCCCTTTCATTAGGCTCTATTCTTGCACGGGACTGCTGATCAGGTTCGCCCCGTGCGAGACTTGATGTGTAAACAAGAACTGATCGTCTGGCCACAGGTCACTTCACCCGTAGCTTCAGAGAATTTCTATAGCAGAATATCCGCAGAGGACAAGAAGTTCTCGCACTATCAGGTGCGTTGCCGGAGATTGGCGATTCCACAGGCCACTCACATTGTTCACCAGGGTGCGTACCACGAAATGTTCCAGGAAATAGACGGTATACCGGAGAAGCTGTCGGATGAGATCATCTCGTGGATCGAGGCACATCTTTCAAAGAGCGACAGTACGGCGTTGAAAGCTTCTCTTTAGTTTTATTTCTTGTTCTCTATCTCTTGTATTAATAACTGGGATCTGCATAGATGTGCAAGCTCGTTTCATCTCGCTAGATACATGTCGGACTGTTTTGGAAAATAATGCCCTAGGACACAGTGGTGGACTCATGACCTCGAGGTAACGGTTTGAAACGATTTGTAGTATCATGCACAGTATAAATCGGCACCAGACAACTTCCATTGGAATGTTATGCAGCTAGATCCATGATTGCCATAAGGAAAAGACGTGCACAATCAGTGCTTCGAGGTGGCAGGAGCAGGAACTGAACTCGGGTTCTGAGAAGTTACTATAATGAAGCGGTTAGGGCTCGTGAACATCGTGTCTGTTCGGACACGATGATGGGATGATCTCGATTCTCGAAAATCGACCGTCGAATTGCAAAACATCTCAACTTCGCTTCTTCCTTCGAATTCAAAGGAAAAAAACGAGGGTCTCCTTAGACGACATCAGTGTAAGGTACTACCAGGGTTCGAACCTGGGTTATGGGAACTTCAACCGCATTACATGATTACGTAATCGGTGTCAAAATCCCAAGTGATAACCACTACACTATAGTACCGATGCTCACAATGGATCTTTCGATATCCATTACAAAGAGCATGCAAAGGAAACCGTTGCTCACAACTTCAAGTTCCAGGGACTGTTCGGATTGACAGTCCTCACCATCAACCACAGGACCAGTTCAAAGACTGCAACAAACATGTTAGAGAGATAGAACACGCGACGATGCATGTCGTTATACAAAGCCAACAATACACTCTATGCTTGCTGGAACCTGAGGCCTGAGTCCTTCTCGACAGAGACCTGTGATGCCGTTCAAAAATGCATATTCCTGAGCACATGCCGATATACAATACAATGTCCGCATAATGATATATAAAGCTGTATTACTCTAAACTAGTATCCTGAAGGTTTCGCACCAGCCTTCGAGGTGTCGTAAGCTCTGATCAAACGCGCCTGGTCTTGCTTCGTCCCGTTCTCTGTCTGACTGAACGCGAAGCCACGGTTCCGGCGCATGCGCTGCACCGCACGAACCTTTTTGATGGCTTTTTGGAACCTGAGGAGCACATATCAGTTAAGATGATGTAAAGACCGACTACCAGAGCGGGCACGTACTGTTCCTGCCGCGGCCTGTAGTCAGGGATGTTGTACTTCTGAATCTCCTGCGCGATATGATATGTCTCTGGAAGATATGTCCGACGGTAGCTGCCAAGAACCGCTCAGTGACTGCAAAGTACAAAGACAAGCCCACTGTACTCACTATTTCCATGCGAAATCTCGCGAGAGACAGAATATGGGTATGAGCAAGAGGTTGAAGTAGAATACACCATCTGTCCAAAGACGCGGCACGATGCCCAAGTACTCCTTCGAGAAGCCAATGGCGGGAGCAACAACCGCGTAGAGGGGAAGGAATAGCATGGTAAAGACGAAGGATCCGGGGATAGCTAAAGGAGCGGTCAGTACTATCGACAGTCGAACGTTAGGATCAAGCCCACCTGCTACAGTATACTTTGTCCACAGGCTGTGAACGAAACGTCGTCAGGCATTGAGTTAATGGGAGACAATGCGAGAAACTCACTCCGAAATCAAAGCAGCCTTCCCGAGGACAGTGAGTAGCACGGCAAGGTACAACGTGGTACCCCAGAACCAATGTCCGGAATCCAACCCAGATGATTGTTTCAGGTCGCCCCAGAACAATATGACAGAGAAGCCGAACAGGATCTGTTCGCGCAAAATCAGTAGCTGATGAGGCAGACCAAAATGAAAGACTCACAAGACTGTGGTACATGGCGTTGCCAACCCACAACCAGAACTGTGTCCGAGAGAAGAACGCGTTCTTTTGACCGAGAATATACAACTGGGGGTAGCGGTCCAAAATACGCGCCGAAACAAACTGGTCGAAAACACCGATTACAAGAGGAGGAAGAAGAGTAAACACAACGTTGTAGAGTGAAAGGGTCCATGATTCGTAGGCAACCTGTCCCGAAAAGTTGTTGAAGAACGAATACTGTAGAAGCCATCGATCAGCGAAGCAACCAACTAACAAGCCACGATTGGCGTACCCAAAATTGTGTCATGTAGAGCGTGATGTTCTTGTAGAACGAATCTGTGGGCACGATGAGCAAACGGCTGGCAGTCCAGCATAAGATTGCTTACAGAGGATGAGCTTGGACAGTCGTTGGTAACTCCAAGCACCGTGGACCAGCAGCAGTTTCTTGAGATAACGGAATTGAGAGATGGCCACATCTGCGGAACGTGCCGCTTGCAGACCCTACTCTAGGATAAGACAATGCACTGGACATCAAAAACACTTTGTGCATACCTCAACACCGGAGATACCAACACCAACATGCGCAGCTTGGATCATGCTGACATCATTGGCACCATCACCAATGGCAAGCAAAATCGCTTTCTGATTCTTCTTGACAAGCTTAACAACCAGAGCTTTCTGTAGCGGTGATACACGACCTGTACACGAAACGTTAGTTACCGTACCAGAATTTCGCTCCATTAGCTTACAGCAGATGACAGCTTTGCACATGATGGCCAGCTCAAGGAAGGTCTTCGAGATCTCCTTCTCCAGAGCCCACGTCAAACTCTTGCCGTCTGAACGAATCCTGTTAGTCACAGTGGTGTCTTCGACGAAGAAGCCCGTACCAATGATCAAGGCCAAGTCTTCCAATTCACCAGAAGACCGTTGACTCTTGATTGCCTGTAACCGCTTGTTGATGAATTCGTAGGTATCGTGCTGATTGTCCTCGTTCACGATGACCTAGTAACGGAAGTGAGAATAGGACCCAAAAGAACGAAACTAAAGGGACTATACCAAGTTCATAGACTCAGAAATAAGCCGGCAAGACATGCCAATGTTGATAGCGGTCTCCTGCCTATCACCAGTTAACACCCAGACCTTGATACCAGCCATCTGCAGTGTGTGGATGGTGTCGGGGACACCGTCTTGCAGCTTGTCCTCGATCGCGGTAGCACCAAGCAAGAACATGTCCTTCTCAATGAGCTCGGCAGCGTCATCCAAAGCATCTCCACGTCCGTTGATTGTAGCAGCAGCCTTCGTGTAGATGTCGGCCCATTGGCGATACTCCGCGTCTGGAATATCGCGGTAGGCAATGCAAAGCGTTCGCAAACCTTCTGTGGCATAATCCTAAATAGATGGAGTCGTCAGACACGATGACAAGGGCATTGAATTGAGGCACAAACCTCGAGGTGAACCAGTGTCTTCTCGGTGTAGGGTTGCTTTTCGCTGAGCCGCTCAAGAATGACCGTATCTGCGCCTTTGCAATAAAGCTTAATCCTGCCTTCTGGTGTGCGCACTAGGACCGACATGCGCTTCCGAGTCGAGTTGAATTCGCAGACGTTCAAAATTTCGTATTCCAAATTTTGGCCGTTGACAGTGATAAATACCGACTTGGGTTTCCGGGTCTATCACAACAAGGTACGTCAACGCCAATATAACTAGGTTGCATATAACACCACTTACGTGGAATTGATAACCCAGGAGCTCAGCACCAGCCACGAGAGCGGCTTCATCCGGGCTACTGGCCTGATACCGCATTTTGCCATCCTTGATCTCCGGAATGACGGTATGGCAAACGGCCAACAACGTCAAAAACTCGTTGATCACGTCCCTTTCGTTACTCGAGCTGGGCTGAGGTGCGTCCACGAACGGATTGGCAGCCCCATTCTCGAGTATCGATCGCATTTCTGCGAAGGTCCGCCAACCATCCTTGCCGTCTTCTGCCTCTCGCTTGCTCTCATCCACCACGTCCGCGTAAGCGACACCAGCGATACTGGCGCAACGGAACTCCATTTCGTTGCAAGTCAGAGTGCCGGTCTTGTCGCTGAAGACGTATTCAATCTGTCCGAGTTCTTCCACAAGCGAGGATGTCCGACAGAGAGCTGGGGTATCCGTTTTGGCGTAATACATGTCCAGATCGGAGTTGATGAGTTGAGCTTGTTGAAACTTGACCACTTCCATGGTGACGATGAGGGATATGGGGATTAAGTTATTGTACAGAATGATAAATGTCAGTATATCTGATAAGCTGGTCAGCCGTAATGCCATCGGGCTTGTGCGCAACTCAGCTTACCCTCAACAAATGTCTTAGCTGGAAGGCAAAATCAGGATCGTATTCATAAGAAAGAGGTTTCGTACATACCTCGACCCGATATTGACGAGGACTCAAACAGATACCATTGCTGGCTTGAAAAAACCCACTGCATGCGTTGTTAGCATATTCGGAAGCGGCACCAGAATAGCAACTCACCTGCCGAATACTGCTACCAATCGTAGAGCCGATAGACAAGCCCAAGAGGAGGATGAACAGGAAGACAATCTGCACGTTTACCTGACGCTCCACGGCTGTCCTCTTGATCGGTGCAGCACTGGAAGATTCATATGTCAATTTAGGCGTAATCAGCGGTATGAGAGAGCCCGTACGTAGCGTTCCGCATCAGTTTCGTCTCGTGGCCGGTGAAGACGACCAGTCCATACGTCCAGGGTGTATTACGAATCTGTGCTCCTCGCAGCAACATTTGATCAGGTCCCAATGGTACTTGCTTCGGTGAGCCATAGTCAGACAGGAGCTCCATCGTGCCTTCGTAAGTGTACAGGGAGTTGTTCGGGTGCTCAGAGCGCAGTGAACCACGCAGTGCCGTGACTAACTTGGGGGATGTAAGGTGCGCGGTTTGAGGGGAAGCCTGCTTGATCTTCAAATTGGTTTCACTGAGCCGCATGAATGCTATGTCAATGACATGGCTGTACAACCGAAATACCGAAATGAGTACGTACCCGTCAAGGTTGGCAGTCTCAACATAACACAGTCCTTCCGGCTCACTCGACGTGAGCAAGATGAGATCGGCCGGAATAAACTCATCGTTCTCCATTCGCACTACGTCTCCGGGTTTCAAGTCTTTCCACTTCCTCTCAATGAATGTCCCCTCCGCTGTCAGTGCCTTAGTCTTGCGAGCGTTGAGTTCCGCATCGGATTGATGTCGTTTCTGCTCAGAGCTTTAATCACACAAAAGTCAATAAGCAAAGAATCAGGCGTACGAGATCTTCTTGGGATTCCTTGAAAGCTGATGCGAGCAATACGACGGCCAGCGGGGCGATGGTAGTATACTGGTTTGTTGGTGAGACGTCGGGAATTTGCTGTATGACTACAGTAAACAAGAAGAACATGTTGGCGTATTTGGAGAATTGTTCTGTACAAATTATGCATGAGAGTCGATATAAATGAGAGATCGGAGTACAGACCGTATAGGAACTTAGGGAGGAAGGTGACGGCGTTGTACTTGCTCGTGGAGACATAGTTATTGCCGAAATCCATGTTCGCGGCAGCATTATTCAACGCAATAAGCCGCTCCCCCTCCAACACCTTCTCCTCTCTCTTCCAAGGCCATCGCCATTTCCTCTTCCTCTTCGGTGGGGGTTCTTTCAGAGTAGACGAGGAGGAGCCGGGGAATGGGGATGAGCCAGAGAAAGGCGTCCCCTTTGCGTCCATTACAGGTTCATCCCAATCTTGCAATATGTCTTGTTCTTGA